CCAAGAATCTAGGTGTTCTACATGACAAAAATCGTGCATATACTAGCACACACTAGGTGACGTGCTGTTCATTGCCTCATAAGTGGGTTGGGTCCTGGTACGAATGACCCAACTAAACTCTATTCCTTTGAACGCGTCGAATCTGTGTTTTTCTCTGCTCTCCCTCGTCCGCGTGCACTCTATGATCATTGTGACTTCGCACATTCCAAGCTTTTCACGTGTGATAAGTGGCCCACCCTTTCCGGAGTCCCTCCCCTTGAAAAGCTCGTTTCCTGGCTCGCCATAGTTTCTTGCACGTCTCGATACTTTGGCAGGCGTTGTCTTCTATCTGCCCGCGTTTCTTGGTCAGGACCATGCACACGAGTTCAAGATGTCACGTAACAGTTAGAACCTAGTCGCGAAACATACATTGCAGTTTCGTGCCAAAACGGTATTGAGCAGCTTCCGCAATTTTTGCCACAGCAGCTTTATTTCCCGCTGCTTGTCTGCGTCCCTTCACCGAAGTCGATACGCATGTGGAGCTTTAATTTCGGCTTGCGACGAGCTTGACGAAAGCGACGTTGCAAGCGGGTTGAACATTCGCACTAGAAACCAATCTACCCAACGCAAACGCATCAGTGCTGCGGCGCGTCCAGTCTCCCATCGCCCGCTTTTCTCAAGTCGCTGCCTATCCCTGTGCCTGTCTCGTCGACTAGTTAGGTAATTCTCTGCTAGTGCACACGATGCTACGACTCGGAAGTGACGCTCCACTGCCGTCACTACCCAGGCTCTAAAAAGACGTTATGGGGCCAACAGGGCAGGACTGGCTAGCTGTGCCACCGGGCCCCCTAGCATTACGTTTTCCTCTTTTTGTGTCCCAGGATTTTCGGTTGAATGATGGTTCAAGTCATTTCCACGAAAAAAAAAACTGATTTCTTCCCCTTAAACTTGCATGGTGATTTAATCTCTTATTGTAGTGCTGTGGGCGCGATAGGGGTGGGGTACCCCTTGGCTGCGCCTCAGTATCCCTCCTCAAAAAAAGCTGGCGGTCGCAGACGATCACACTCGCTGGGGCATGTCTCACTGACAAGACACAATCTGTACTAAGCCCAAGCCTTGATAGAGAAGGGACACGGGGTGCTGCCGAAGACCCCTTTCCCTCTCTAACCACATTACCGTCGAACTGTGTGCACTGTCGAAGCAGCAGTTGTTCAGTCGATTACTGTCGAGCACATAGTGAGAAACAACTTGCAGTGAGAAACATTACCGTTTTCAGCAATTAATACTGTATTGTATAACCTAATCATTACGTGGTTTGCACACCGTGAGAACTGATAGGATAGTGTTCATACCTTACGACGTGGTCCACGACATGCACGTGACGTAATCGGCGACAGAAGTTTAAATAGATATCGATCCAAGGCAGTCGCCGTACCAGACGTAGCTGACATTTCCGACGTATCTAATCGATACATATCCAATCTTCTGTGACCGATCACGTCGGTTACTTCAATTGCGTCAACGTCGTGAGGTGTGAACGCAGCCAAAAGTTTTTTGGAATGGAATTGTCGATTTCTCACAAAAACAGTATTTCCTAGGAAAGCGAAGGCAGCACTAGCAACATTCCGATTACAACACGAGCAATTCGAGTACATCGAGTTAGATGAACGTTCAGATCTGCCCGTTGATGGCATTCAGGACGAATTTCTGAAGAGATTTGGCAGCAGATCAGTTCCTAAGGTACAGTGTTGCTTACTTGGTGTACTGTTTTTTTTTCTTTTTCAATATATTGTTTTATAGGTATTTATTGGCGGTCAGTTCATAGGCGGTGGTGACGATATAGTTCGTCTATTGCATAGCGGAGAATTGGAACCTCTGGTCCAAGCAGCACTTCACTAATCAGGTTTGCTTGCTCGCTTGACAAGAAACATTGTTGTACAACCATCGAGAAGTATTGAGTATATTAATATAGTATTGTGAAAAAATATTGTATATAGGGTGTTTACAAATGTTGTATGTCCAACTGATACAAATATAAAGTATTTATCTAAGTCTACGAACCCGTTTTCACCGGACTTCCAATCCACCCTTTAAACAATGACGTGCGGAAAGCAAAAGAAGATGCACAACTGTCAAGTTAAAACAGCTACCATTATACCACTCTAATGCGTTAGTAGTACACATAGCGAATGTAGATGGCGTTACTGCGGCGGAAACAAATGGGACTAAAGATCCTTATTGTGATGTCTTCTTTTCAGGTGTGATTGTCCATTCGTATACACGTTCACTGTGCTCTTCATTCGCTGTCTTAAGAAAAAAAATCATGATTTACGCCATCCCAAAAGGTGTTATGGAGTACACGAAGTGTTAGTAAAAGTTTTGAAAAGTCACCTTTGGAGTGCTTTCGCCTTCTGTACTAAACTCCATAGGTTCGCTGTGATCACCTTCGACCGTTTCACATGGTTTTATAGCTGGCATTTAATCGATCGACGGCTTTTTCCAACGCCAGTTTAAATCCTTTCGAAGCCATCACTGGGAATGACGGTTCGGATGTGCCATTGATCCACCCATTTATGCGTTGCCGAAGTCTGAACATCAAAACTCCTTCAACAACACTGAAAAGTGGTCAGATTACAGCGAAACCCTAAACCGCTTACGATGCGTGTGAGAAACTGAGAGAAGTACAGGTTTCTGTCATCATAACATTTGTGAAAGTGAACATCTCACACTCGAAACTTCTGGTGGCTACGAGAAATTAACAGTCATGTCAGAATAAGACCCTTTTCAGGAGAGGATGAGTGTGTCAAGTAAGGCGCTCCTGGTAAAGGGGTGGTATAGCAAAATTTGCATAACGCGTTGGTGAACCTTGCTTTGAGACACACGGCTGTCTCTTAAATTCCTAGCCGCTTCATACATCATGAAGGGGCTAGAGCAGGAGAAGAGAAAATGTTTTTAACGGCGGGAAGTGATACTTGCATCGCCTTCTATTACAAGGCGGAAGCATTTAGATGAGTACCAGGCATACGCGATTATTTGAGGGATTACTCGGTGCTATGTCAGTTTTAAACTTATTTCATTACGATGACTGCAGCACATCGCTGTAGTTCTTGCACATGGAGTCATGAGCGAAGGGCTCCACCTTAGCTCAGACTCCAACCTGAACCGCATGCTCATCGGGCCAATGTGCTAACTATTACACCTCCCGAGCCGGCTTCCGTACTCTCCCTCAGTGAGCTGAGTGGAAACAAGCCTCGTCCTCATCAATCAGTGTTGGTGCGATCCAATGTTGGTTAGGGGGTTCTTCTTACAACTGTTAAGGAGGTTATTAAATGCTTTTATTGACTAATAGTTCTCCAAATGTGCCCTCTTCAAGGCCTGAGCGGGCTGAACCCCAGTAATGATTATCCGAGAGAGTATTAGGTTGTCCGGAAAGTTCTCAGCGTTTTGTGTTACTATTTTTTGTACATTCATTGCTGATTAAAACTCATTCTCCCTTGCGTCTCAGTAGTACATCCTGAAGAGAATTTTTGCGCTATCTGATAATAATTGCCGTTTCACCATTGCTTGATAAACCCCCTTTTCCCAAGACTTTTTGAAGCATGTCAAAAGAGCAACTTCGGACGATATTTTTCTTCAACTACAAATTGGGTCAATCCGCAGTCGAGACAGCTCGACAAATTAACCAGGTGTGGGGGCCCAATAGTGTTGGAGAAAGCACCGTGCGACAAAAATTTCGTTCTGGAGATTTCAGCCTTGAAGATGAACCTCATAGCGGTCGACCTAAAGCAATATCTGACGAGGATTTTGGGGGGAGGCTGACCCATCCCAAACAGTTCGAGAGATTGCAGAAAAGCTAGGCGTTGGCAAATCCACTGTTGCAGATGGTCTGAAACGCATTGGGAAGGTGAAAAAACTCGACAAGTGGGTGCCCCACAATTTGAGTGACCGGCAGAAATTGGCACGTCTCGAGGTTTCTTCTTCACTGCTTTTGCGGAAGGGTCCGATTCTTTTGCATGACAACGCCCGCCCACACGTTTCACAAATCCATAAATTGAACGAATTGGGGGTTGAAGTTCTACCTCACCCGCCATATTCTCCAGACCTTTCACCAACCGACTATCACCTTTTCAAACATTTTCAGAACTTCCTTGCTGGAAAATACTTCATCAATCAGGACCAGGCAAAAAAGCCTTCGTGGATTCTCGACCACCCAGTTTTTTCTTTGATGGGATTTATCGACTGTGTGCTGATTCGAACGGTGCTTATTTCGATTAAATCCGATGAGTATTAAGAAAGTTATGATCGTTTGAAGTGAAACACTCAAAACGCTGAGAACTTTCCGGACAACCTAATATCTCATGTATTCGTTAGTTTTTCGATGCCATTCAACACGAGAAGAAATGGGAGGTAACCTAGCATGCTTTTAGCAGTTGCTTTGGTTCCAACTATCTGAATTCGAAGAAACGAAGGCTTAGTTGGCTTGGAGAGTTCTCTGCGCTACTCCAACTTAAACACCTATGCGCCTTCAGAATCACTGGTGATGGGAATGAGGAAACATTCTTCGTGAAGGGGGGGGGATCAACAAAATGATCCAATTGGTTGTTGGGTCACTAGAGGAAACAAACACTTGCAGAATGCGTGTCCTGATTCTCAAACTGTGATAGAGTCTCTAGTAGTCTTCCTGGTCACAACTGAGAAGGCTACTAGAGAAAGAGACTCAGACATTTTCAGAGGTCATTCGGAATACATTTTGTACGCTAAATGAGTACGTTACTTACAAGCGTTATATTTCTAGTGTTATGAACCCAGAAATCAAACTCACGCTATCCAAGACTTCTCCACAAAAGATTTTATTAGGTCCTTGAAGTCATTTGGCGGCTCCATGTACACCTAAATTGGATAGTTGCATTTGGTCGAAATTTTTAACATTTGCAACGACTTAAAAACAGATTCTGTAAGACTGCATGGTTGCAGCAGGACTGCGTCTATACCTTGAGAAGGTATTCCAGGGAATTAATAGTAGCCATCTCGTTGTAGCGTCGAGAGCGATCAGACATTTCCGACTGCTGCTTGCGCGATTCATATCCAGCTTCATTGAAATATGGTTCTGGTACCAATATCAATGCTAGAAACAGAAACTCTTGAAAACTAAGCCTTTCACTTCTCGATGAGAATTCCTAGAAATGTATACATTCGCACCTTGAATTGAAAGTAACACTTGAAAAATGTTTGACTTTGTAGGATTCCACGTTTCCACACCCTGCAATAATTCGCTGCTTTCCCATCGTTGAGACTGCGGCAACTATTTACCTTACCTGGCCGGACCACGTTCCCAGAAGGCTTGTACACACTTTTCCATTTTGGTATAGGTTCGGGTTGAGTTGTTCTTGCGAGTATGCCACGTACGTTACCTGATAGTAAACAATGTATAGTTCAATTTTCTTTTCTTTTCTAGTTTCTGCTTCACGTTTACTCTCACACCAGACGTACCTCAGGCGGTTTTTGTGGATAATCAGCGGGTAATTTGAATTTAAAGAAGAAAGGAGTGGTGTCAAAAGGAGTTCCGACAGGTCCAATTATAAGAACGTGCAGAACATTCAACCTTAAAAATGAGATTGCCCATAGTTGAAGTCCGCGGTAGGGAAAGGGAAGTTTTCACCTGTTCGCGAACGCATGGACATGAATGTTGTCTGGAACGTGCTCGGAGAGGACTTTATGCTCTTTGAACACCGCAGAATAGAACTTTCTGCTCGGGGACCCGTCAAGAGAATCACTCGTATCCGGATACTCGTCCAATATCTAAACCATTAGAATTTTGTTTACAGCTCGGGTATCTGAATCCTTTCTAACGAAAAACTCGAACGAATCGCCTATCCATAGCCTACAGTGACATGATGTTGAAGAAAGAATACCCATATTTCAGATAAAAATAATGATTCACATTTCACTCCAGAAAAAAAGTCCGAACTACAGTCTAGTTGGCAACGGACGATTAGGCATGTCAGCGCGGTTGCGTTTGGCGCGCCGTCTGTCAGTTCTCCACCAGTTGTTGAAGTGGGTAAAGACAACAACTGATGGAAAAGTGGGCTGGCGGCGCGTCAAACGCAAAACCGCTGACACGCCCCATCCTCCGCAGCGAACAAGACTGCATGCTAACGCTACACAGACAAATTGCGTCCGAGTGACTGATACCCGCTACAGCATTATGAAGAGCCAATCCAAGATGTTCGCAAAAGGAAAGAATTACCTCGAAACTACCAGCCACTCGCTTATCCTTTTGCCCAACTCTTGCACCTTTCATCAAAAATTCAGCTTTAAGAAGATCACTGCAATTTCAAAGATAATAAGGAGGTGGCTTAAGACATACTGGATCCATATTCTGCGAGATGGATCTTTTCCATGTGCAAGGCGAGCAGGTCGAGCTGTCGAGGCGCGCCACTTCTGGCGCCGGGAAGCGCGTTGGGCTAAAGCATACTACTACGCACAGCTTGTTGCCCCCCCCCCTCACGTTTTGACTAGGGCGCTATTGTTGTCTACAGCTTTTATGCGTACCTGGGCAGCGCTTGCATTTGTTGCAATGGCTAGGCAACTAATGGGTAGAGTCCCTGCGGCGACCGTGTGTTGGCGCGCTGCTCGAGCACGTAGCGAAAGAGCTGTGGGAGCAATGACGTCCCCAATCAAACGTGAGATGACACAGACAACTAGTCTGCTTGTCCTGGCAAGACGTGTAGCTGGTCGCGCGGTCTACTGCGTGCCTGTGGATGTGTGTGCGGATTAGAAAAGAACAACCGGCACCTCTACCCTTCAGCGCTTTTCGGCCAAAGTGGCACGTTTCGACAGCTCCGGATTTCTTCACTTCACATATGGGGAAAGGTCCGTCTCGCAGGTGAGCGCACGGAGGGTCTAATATTGCGTACTCTTCCTATATACTCAAAACACTGTGTGCACTAAAAAATTGTTCATCACACCGCAACACACGGAGCTGTTGCTGCAAGAGCGCTGAGGAAAAGTGAGAAACTTACCAGCCTTTTCGGTATATATCACCACTAGCTTTCAACCCTTCTCGACAAGTATGCTCCACCTAAAACTCCTGCACAATTATGGAAACGGAGCAAACCGTAAAATGTGGACTTCTAATTTTGTGTATAGAGAGAACACGAAGAACCCATGGTAAAAGGAACCTGTGAGTGGATTGAGTCGAAGGAGTACGCCTGCGTTACTTCTATCAATCGAAGAATCATTGAAGGATTGTGATAGTCCACAGAGCGCCTGCAAAACGTAATTAATCAACCATTCCTCACGTAGCGTCGTAGATACTCTGGAAGGATTTTGAAAGACTCACGCGAACATAACTATCTCGTGAAGAGTAGGGTACCTGATCAACCTCGGTATCTCGTATGATTTCCCAACCGCGTTACTCAGCTGAAACCTTTTTAGAAAAAACGAAAACAGAAAAGCGCACAAGAATACAGCTTGAAGATGAAAATGACAGCAGTATACACACTCCATACCGGAGGGTGGGCGTGGCCAAATACTTCATTTAAATGCGGCGGTAGTTGCGCTTTTGGTGGATTATTGCCGTCTTATGACAGTTGTAATTTTCTTTGCCTAGTACAAGACAAGATGATAGTTGTCTCAAATGGAAACATCCCATAAGAAAAGCTATTTGAACGAAGTACGCAGCCAGCTCTCTCTCTCCATCTCCAGAAGTGTAGCGAACCAAGTCGGACAGGAGTAGGAAAAGTATACAAACGAAGCAGGTTGGGGAAATATTAATGCGCGTTTCACCACAAAAAAAAATCAAGAGAGTACTCTTCACCATAACCAGGAACTCTTCGCCATTCTTCTCTCAAGTGATGAGCGGCTTGGGAGCCCTAGATGAAGCGAAACAGATTACACCTGGTGGGGCTATATCAGGGCTAAGTGACACCTTTAGTAGTACTTCTTCCTGTTGATCTGTCTTCTGTCAAACGATTTTTGTCGTGTAGACAAAGTTGTCCTGGAATCTGCCACGGCTATATATTGCTAACTTAGGACGGCAGGTACTCTACTCGCGATTCGTTTGATCAGTGATACAAAGAATAAATAGCGGCCGTATTCTTTCCACACAACAAGCAGTGCCACCAGGTCACACTTCCCGGAACGTCGTAGTCCACTGCCAGGGTTCGCCACGGATGATTTTGACTCTGTAGGCTCACGTCTTCACTCCGAAATCAGCAGAACCATCGGCACCGCTGATTCTCCGTTGTATTACATGACAGATTTCTTTCAGAGGCTGCCTGATCCCTATGTGTAAGGCGCTAGACATGAATACTTGCATTTAGTTGCCGGTTGCTCATATTCTCGAGATAAGTTCGACAGTGAAGAAAAAGACTTGTATGAAAACCAGTCGGATCACCCGGCTGCCGCCGGGTGCTCCCCCTTCTATTGCACAGCCCGGGCCAACCTGGCTTCGCCAGGCACTCTCCTTGGCCGAGTAGGATGTGCAAGTTAATTTTTTTTTATTAGTATGTAGGAAAATGAGTTAAAAAAAAGCCTCAATTCAGTTATTAGCTACCAATACCATATAATTAAGGAACGCAGTGCGACAACAGAAAAAAGTTGAATTACGCCCCCCTCTCATATGGTGAAGCACTCTTAGTGTGAACTCATTTAGCATTGTTAGATGACTGGAAAGAGTAGGTATATTCCTGAAGTCGTCAGGGACAAAATATGTGTGGGGGAAATTGCGAGATTGAATAATAGCTATGTTGCTGGCATTTTTCGAGTAATACCTCAACTATTACATTTTTTAATTAACTCTCCTTTACCAATAAAACCGAAATCCTGCTTAGTATACGACTGAAAAATTGTAAAATGGTGTGAGTGAACAGCTTCTAAGCACACTGCGTCACTTTTTCAATTCCTCTTAATTTTATCAAGCTTTTTTGGCTAGTTTCGCATTTTTCGGCTTTACACTTTTATCACGTAACAATATTGAATCCCCTTTAGCATACGTATACTTATAAAAGTGATGCATAATACGATGTGTGTGCAATATTTTTATGTTATATGTATAAGATAAAAATCTTATGTTTTTATACTCAGCGCGCCAGAAATCGCGTCGCGCAAATACACTGCGGTACGCAATGGGTTAATTGACCTTGATTCTGTTGCCATCGAAGGAAAGAATTCACACGCTGAGCCTCTAATACTCGGCATTAAAGCGGTAAGAAGTGATAAAAATGTAGCGCAGATGGTATCTTATCTGTTTTTATCGATTGATAAGATTACCTGTCACCCGTCATCAATGTCCTCATCACTAAATCTCTATGATTTGGTAGCGTGAACCACCTTGAACAGCGACGACGACTGCAACTTTTTTGAACAAGTAGTCCTATCTCGCTTCCAGTCACCCACGGTTGATGTTTCATTTGTCCTCTCTCATATCCCGTGTCGTGACTTTCGTACGACTCTTTTTAAAGGGTCGCGTTATGGGGCGCGCGGCGGTCCTGGCGCGCTTAGCGGTACGGTCGAACACTCTGGAAGCCGCTAGGGATGCAGAGTCGGCGTCGACTCTGGCTTCTCTCTCACTTCGACGTCTGCCGCCGTATCGACTGGTCGCTCCTTCGCTCGTCGCCTTGTGCCAACTTCACTATCCAACTGCAATGGCAACACTTCAATATCCAGGAGCCGTACTCGACAGCAAGCAGCACTGCCTCCGGACGAAGACATCCCAGGTAACCACTGGAGGAGGAGGAGCACCCGAACCCCTTGGGCAGCCAAGGGTGAGGGTGTGTCCAAGGCCCCCAGTGGGCTGTACCCTCGTGGCCCGTAGGCAGTTCTCTGGCAGGGTTCGTTAGTAGGTTAGGGGCCGTACCTTACTTTTAGTAGTTTCCTTTTAGTAGTTTTCCTTTTCTATTATTGTTGCTCACAGTATATTCGTAGAGTGGTAAACTTAATAATTACTTGTGTTTTGTCGTGTAGCAAGAGTGGTTGATCCACATCATTTCTCACATATTTATTCATCATAGTTTATCATAGTCCATAGTGTAGTTAATAATATACTAGTTGTTGACTTGGGTCATGCGTCACAAGTGCCATAGTATGCGCAGCCATAGGAGCGGAGTCCTTAGGTAGTGTGCGAGGGTAAGGCGTAGGTAGGAGGGTAGTTGGAGGTACATGTCCGTAGTGCGCACATAACGTAGGGGCAGTAAGGGCCTACCGGTAGCGGTTAGCTCCATTAGCACCCGCGTGGCAACACCGTGGCGAGCATGGGCAAGCGCTCGTAAGTCCCCTGCAACCCTCGCGCCGAGGGCGGATCCTTTCCCCTCCAGGCACCGATGCTACGTCAGAGGGCTGGTCACCTGGTAGAGGCCAGGTGTGAGGGGAACAGGAAGCCGCCCCCGGCACGACATGGTGCATACGGCTGGGGTTCAACGTGTGGGAAACCCACGTTGGGCCTTAGCGATCGAGCCTTGTCTGCGCTTGCCACGTACCCGTAGGTCTAGGTAATAGTTGTAGGGCGTTTGCGTTACCATCTGGTTGACACGTTTGCTTAGGTGCCCTGCGTACGCTATAACTGGGGCAAACCCTCTCTCGCCCATGTGGGGCCGTGACCTCTTACCCAAGTCGCCTGGGTGGCACAGCCGCATCTTGGGGACAGCCGTGATACGTCGAGCCACGGTTAACTCTGCAGGTGGGCGAGGGGAATGGAAGCATGCCGTAAAAAGCATGTGGGAGCCCCTCCTGGACATGTCGCTGCATACAAACTTGGGTACGCTGGAAGCGTATATAATTGAGCCCTTGCCCGTAACTTCACATGTACCAGGGCCTTAGCTATTGGCGTAGGTGACACGTAGCAATTGTTGTCAATCAGATTTGTGCGCTTACAGCACTCCTATTTCCTTCTATTGCTTCCTCGTTCTTTTCCGGTCATATACCTTTTTGGGTAGATACCTATGCCTTGTCCTTCGTGCCTCCTCGTGCTTATTGTCATCTCGTAGTGCCTGGCCAGCACCCCGCATACTAAGTTTACCCCCGCCGTAGGTAGCTATCGGCCAATAGCTACTCTACGGCCAAGCAACAATTCATAATTTCTTAGTTTAGAATCTGGGTACGGCAGTTACCGCCTCCTGCCAGCGCTTACAATGTCCACCATCAGTACGCACAAAGCCAATATGATCAAGGCAGTCGCTGCATGGGAAACCGTAAGAGGTAAGATTCCCGCATCTTTGCTCCATCCTATAGATGCGAGTGTAGGCGACCCGGTCAACGTTTGAAGTGCGCCATGCTTCTTTAGAACATCATTTGGCACAAGTCCGCGCAGCACTCGACGTGCTCAAAGAGCGAAGGTCAGCATTCGTAGCCTTTATAGCTAAATCATCGAAGTCAGATGCTGACAGTAGAGCGCACCATCAATGTTTACAAGAAACTCGCATAGACGAGGCAATTGTTGCAGCCGAATCTGTCGTAGCGTCTCTTTGCGCAGGTTTAGAAGAACTAGGAGCGCTTGCAGAGAGCAGTCCATCCGTAGCTCTCTTTGAAACAGTCGAGGATGCTCCTGTACGAGTTCAAGAACAACTACAGGAGGACCCTACAGCCACGTCTAATGCGGGTCCATCGTATACGCAGCCGCAACAACATCTAGGGCACCCAACCTTTCGCCGGGCTATGGTCCATCATATTTCGTAGGCCCAGATGTCCCCCTGTTTGGTCCCATGCCAGCGCAGCCAGCTGTACAGCTTGGCAAGCTCGCATTGGAACCATTCACGGGAGACATCACACAATTTCGTAGGTTTTGGTGTGCCTTCGAACTTGCGGTGCATAATGACCCAAATACTCCATCAACGTATAAATTTTTGTATTTACAAAGTTTGCTAAGGGCGATGCCCAAATAGTACTACAGGATCTCGACCCGGAAGAATGCAACTACGCGGAGCTGGTGAAGGCTCTTAAGAAGCGGTACGACCGTCCTTATCGGACGCGAGCTACCCTTCACAAGCAGCTTCAGCAGCTTCCCGTAGCTCGAAATACGGGCCCAGATCTTCGTAGTACCTGGTTTCGTGTGTCCGGTATTCTCCATGGATTACGACGTTATGAAGACTTCAGCAGAGTTCTGCCGATTCTTGACCTAGTCAAGAGCAAATTTCCTGCAGAAATTCAGCAGAAGCTTCATGATCTCGAGTTCCAGACCAATTCCGACTTCGATCTTACGCAGGTCATGGACAAACTCGACCACATCATCTCGTCCAAGGAGAAGTACGAAGATTCCACCACGTTAACTGATAGCCTCTCTGTAAGTACATCTCGTTCCCGCAGTCCATCGCGGCGTTCCTCTCCTCCGAGCCGTAGTCCACTACGGCATTCTT